ACCTGTACACGGCCCCCGACTCGTGCGAGGGCCGCTGCGGGGAACCCCCGAGCGAGGAGGACGAGTGTCACTGTCACCCGGGCTGCGGGACCCTCGGCAGCTGCTGCGGGGACTTCGACCGGCACTGCGGGCCCGGTGAGACCCCCGGGACGGGGGGTGGGCGCGGGGGTCTCCCCGGGGGTGGGGGGCCCTGGGAGGGCTCCATCACCCCCCAGAGCGGCTCCGTCACCTTTTCCTTTCGGCTCCGTGCAGGCGGGGACGGGGATGAGGATGAGGATGAGGATGAGGAGGCAGCTCCAGCCCGCGGTGAGTCTGCCCGGGGTGAGGGGGGGGGGAAGGGGGGGAAACAGGAGGAACCTCGGGATGAGCCCCGCGGTGTGACCCCCAAATCCCACGGGGATGTGCTGGGGCTGTGTCCCTGTGCGCCCCAAACTCCACAGGGACCCCCGGGTCGGTGTTCCCAGGGTCCTGTGCACCCCAAACCCCACAGGGACCCCCCTGTGTTGGTGTTCCCAGGGTCCTGTGCACCCCAAACCCCACAGGGACCCCCCCGGGTCGGTGTTCCCAGGGTCCTGTGCACCCCAAACCCCACAGGGACCCCCCTGTGTTGGTGTTCTCGGGGTCCTGTGCACCCCAAACCCCACAGGGGTGTGCTGGGGCTGTGTCCCTGTGTGCCTATGCACCCCAAACCCCACAGGGACCCCCCTGGGTTGCTGTTCCCAGGATCCTGTGCACCCCAAACCCCACAGGGACCCCCCCGGGTCAGTGTTCCCAGGGTCCTGTGCACCCCAAACCCCACAGGGACCCCCCTGGGTCGGTGTTCCCAGGGATCTGCACACCCTAAATCCCGCAGGGACCCCCCTGGGTCGGCGTTCCCAGGGTCCTGTGCATCCCAAACCACCCCCCTGGGCGGGTGTTCCCAGGGACAGGATCCAAGGGAACGGCTGGAGCTGTGCCAGGGCAGGGTGAGGTTGGATCTCAGGGAAAGGTTCTTCCCCCAGAGGGTTTTTGGACACTGAATGGGCTCCCCGGGGTTTGGTCACAGCCCCAAACCTGCCAGAGCTCCGGGATTATTTGGACAACGCCCTCAGGAGTTGGGATTTTGGGATTAGTGGGATTTTGGGGCGTCCTGTGCAGGGCCAGGAGTTGGATGATCTTTGTGGGGCCCTTCCACCTTGGAATATCCCTTGATCCTGGGACCCCCTGGGGGTATCCATGGCCTCGGGGCATCATCCTGCTTCCAGCACCATTCCCGGGAGCCAGCTGGGCACGGGGAGCCCGCCGGGGGCTGGAATTTGCATCCCCTGCCCACCCCACAGCTGAGGGATGGGGAGGGGGCTGATCCCAGTGGGTGTGTCACATGGAGCAGGGGGGGGCTGATCCCAGTGGGTGTGTGACACGGAGAGGGGTCATCCCTGAAAATGGGGAGGGGGCTGATCCCAGGGGATGTGTCACACGGAGAGGGGTCACACCTGAAAATGGGGAGGGGGCTGATCCCAGTGGGTGTGTCACACGGAGCAGGGGGGGGCTGATCCCAGGGGATGTGTCACATGGAGCAGGGTCACACCCTGGGGGACAGGGGCTGATCCCAATGGATGTGTCACACGGAGAGGGGTCACACCTTGTGGGGACAGGGGCTGATCCCAGGGGATGTGTCACACGGAGAGGGGTCACACCTTGTGGGGACAGGGGCTGACAATTCCCGGCTCCCCCGGAGCCCAGGGAAGGCTCCCCGTGGCCACCCAATGTCCGTGGTTTTGGGGAGGGTCTGGACCCCCCTGACGGCCCCCCAGGGCTCCGATGGGTGCCGGACGACCCCCCGCAGCCCCTCCCGCCCCTCCCCACAGGCGGCTTCTCCCGGAGCCGCGATTCCATCACGGAGCGGGAGCTCCTGGAGCTGTCGGAGCAGCTCTACGGGCTGGATCACAACCGGGCCCGGCCCGGAGACATCGCCCTCAACCCCCAGCACCGGGCGGGCCCCGGCGAGACGGGACACGGGCGGGACCTGTCGCCGCAGCCGTGAGTGGCCACCGGGGGGGCCTGGGGGGGGCCGATGGTGGCCCGGGGGCCACCAGGGCTGGTGTGGGGAGGTCCTGTGGGGTCTGTGATGGGGCAACAGGTTCTATGGGGTCTGTGATGGGGGCAGGACAACCTGTGGGGTCTGTGATGGGGCAGCAGGTCCTGTGGGGTCTGTGATGGGGGCAGGACACCCTGTGGGGTCTGTGATGGGGACAGGACACCCTGTGGGGTCTGTGATGGGGCAGCAGGTCCTGTGGGGTCCGTGGGGAGGAATCTCCTCTCCCTTACCCGCTCCCCCCACCCCTCCAGGCTCTACAAACACGTCAACGAGGAGCTGTTCTCCAAACCCACCTACTCCAGCTTCATTAAGCTGCTGGATAATTACCAGCGGGCCACGGGCAGGGAGGAGGAGGTGACGGCGGAGGAGCTGCGGGAACAGGACACCTTCCTCGGGGAGGCGATGGCGACGGAGCTCATGAGGACGCTCTTCGCCTTCCTCCGCCACAAAAGTGGGTTGTGGGGCGGGGCGGGAGCCTCGGGAATTCCCCAAGGGAAGCTGCGGCCGGGCGGGAGGTGCCCCGGGAGGAGCGGGGAGGAGCGGGATGATTCCCGAGGGGCGGGATGGGGTGAGGGATGGGGGAGCTCTGCCTCTCCCAGCGCTCCCAGTCCCGGCTCCCTCCTGTCCCGCAGACCGCTACGACTCCGAGCAGGAGTTCCTGGAGGATCTGAAGGGGATGTGGTTCGGACTCTACTCCAGAGGGGACGGAGAGCAGGACTCCAGCGGCTTCGAGCACGTCTTCTCAGGTACAGCCCGGCTGGGGTGGGGGAGAGGGGCATTGGGGGGGCCGGGGGCTCACCCAGGGGTGTCCCTCGTGTTTAGGGGAGGTGAAGAAAGGGAAAGTGTCCGGATTCCACAACTGGATTCGCTTCTACCTCCTGGAGAAGCAGGGAACGGTCAACTACCTGAGCCACAACTTCGACGGGCCGGTGAGTGAGCCCGGGGGGGGCAGCAGGGCCTGTGGGGTCTGTGATGGGGGCAGGACATCCTGTGGGGTCTGTGATGGGGGCAGGACATCCTGTGGGGTCTGTGATGGGGCAGCAGGGCCTGTGGGGTCTGTGATGGGGCAGGACACCCTGTGGGGTCTGTGATGGGGGCAGGACATCCTGTGGGGTCTGTGATGGGGCAGCAGGGCCTGTGGGGTCTGTGATGGGGGCAGGGCAATCTGTGGGGTCTGTGATGGGGGCAGGACACCCTGTGGGGTCTGTGATGGGGGCAGGGCAATCTGTGGGGTCTGTGATGGGGCAGCACCACCCCAAACCAGCCTCACCCCAACGGGGTGGATCCAAAGCCTCAGGGGTGGATCCACAGCCCCAGGGGTGCATCCAGAGCCCCAGGGATGCATCCAGAGCCCCAGGGATGGATCCACAGCCCCAGGGATGGATCCACAGCACCAGGGGTGGATCCAGAGCCCCAGGGATGGATCCACAGCACTGGGGATGGATCCAGAGCCCCAGGGATGGATCCACAGCCCAGGGGTGGATCCAGAGCCCCAGGGATGGATCCACAGCACTGGGGATGCTCCTCCTGCTCCCCTGGGTGTCCCAGGGGTGGGGTGGGGTGAGCAGGTCCGGAACAAACACCCCAACACCCCGAAAGGCCCCTCCGGCCCTCAGGGAGAGGTTTGGGGCCGGGGGGCTCCTCTGGGGTCTCTCAGCCCGGTTGGACCCCGCTCTGTCCCCGGGGTGTGTGTGTGAGGATTCCCGGGGCGCTGGGGGGTCCGGGTGGATTCCTGGAGCCCCCAAGGCCCAGGCTCTGACCCCCCGTGCCCCCCCCGTCCCGCAGTGGGACACGTTCCCCACGGTGCTGGGGCTGCAGTTCAGCTGGGACGGGTTCCACAAGGAGGTGGGATCCGCCTTCGTCGGCTCCAGCCCCGAGTTCGAGCTCGGCCTCTACACCCTCTGCTTCCTGGCGCGGCCCGGCCGGGCGTGAGTACCTGCGCGGGGCTGTCCGTCTGTCCTGGGGCTCGCTGTCCGTCTGTCCTGGGGCTCGCTGTCCGTCTGTCCTGCTCTGTGTGTCCTGGGGCTGGCTGTGTGTCCGTCTGTCCTGGGGCTGGCTGTCTGTCCATCTGTCCTGCTCTGTGTGTACTGTACCTGTCTGTCCTGGATCTGTCTGTCTGTCCTGGGTCTGGCTGTATGTCCGTCTGTCCTGCTCTGTGTCCTGGGTCTGTGTGTCCTGGGTCTGTATGTCTGTCCGTCTGTCTGGGGTCTGTGTCCTGGGTCTGGCTGTCTGTCCGTCTGTCTGGGGTCTGTGTCTGGGGTCTGTGTCCTGGGTCTGTCTGTGTGTCCTGGGTCCGTGTGTCTGTCCTGGCTCTGTCTGCCCTATGTGTCCGTCTGTCTGTCATCCCTGTGCCTGCCTGTCTCTCTCCTGGGGGATGGGACTGTGGGATGAGGGCTCAGGGGTGGAGCAGTGGGATCACTGAGAGCATCCTGGACATGGGATTGTGGGATGAGGGCTCAGGGATGGGACTGGAGATGGGATTGTGGGATAAGGGTCCCAGGGATGGAGCAGTGAGGGTGTGGGGACACCGGGAGCATCCTGGACATGGGATTGTGGGATGAGGGCTCAGGGATGGAGCAGTGAGGGTGTGGGGACACCGGGAGCATTCCAGAGATGGGATTGTGGGATGAGGGCTCAGGGGTGGAGCAGTGAGGGTGTGGGGACACCGGGAGCATCCTGGACATGGGACTGTGGGAGGACAGGGATGGGACTGGAGATGGGACTGTGGGATGAGGACTCAGGAGTGCAGCAGTGGGATCACTGGGAGCATCCCAGAGATGGGGCTGTGGGAGGACAGGGATGGGGCTGGAAATGGGATTGTGGGATGAGGGCCCAGGGATGGGGCTGGAGACGGGATTGTGGGATGAGGGCCCAGGGATGGGGCTGGAAGGATGGTGGGATGAGGGGCCCAGGGATGTGGCTGGAAAGGGGATTGTGGGATGAGGGGCCAGGGATGGGGCTGGAGACGGGATTGTGGGATGAGGGCCCAGGGATGGGACTGGAGACGGGATTGTGGGATGAGAGCTCAGGGATGGGACTGGAGACGGGATTGTGGGATGAGGGCCCAGGGATGGGACTGGAGACGGGATTGTGGGATGAGGGCCCAGGGATGGGACTGGAGACGGGATTGTGGGATGAGAGCTCAGGGGTGGAGCAGTGGGATCACTGGGAGCACCCCGGAGATGGGGCTGTGGGAGGAGGCAGGGCCGGGGCAGGGCCGGTGTTGGGACGGCGGGACCCCCCCAGGCCCGGGGGGTGACGGGCCGTGTCCCCACAGGTGCCACCTGAGCCTGGGCGGGCACAGCCTGAGCATCCAAACCTTCCCCTGGACCAAATCCACCTACGGCGGCGGCCGGAGGTTCATCGCCACCGCCTACGTGATGTCACCGTGAGGGGACAGCGGGGACATCCCCCCGCCCCTCCCCGCGCCCCCCCCGGTGCTGCTCGGGACTGGTCTGGACTGGTCTGGACCGGTCAGGACTGGTCTGGACTGGTCAGGACTGTTTTGGACTGGTCTGGACCGGTCAGGACTGGTCTGGACTGGTTTGGACTGGTCTGGACTGGTTTGGACTGGTCTGGACTGTTTTGGACTGGTTTGGACTGTTTTGGACTGTTTTGGACTGGTCTGGACTGGTCTGGACTGGTTTGGACTGGTTTGGACTGTTTTGGACTGGTCTGGACTGGTCTGGACTGGTTTGGACTGGTTTGGACTGGTTTGGACTGGTCTGGACTGGTCTGGCTGCGGGACGCGGAGCTGTGGGACCAGCGCAGGGTCCGGAGGGAGCTGGGCAGGACAGGGGTGGCCGAGCCCCGTGAGGGGACAGAGGGGACAGAGAGGGACCCTCGAGCCCCCCCCGAGCGCTGCAGTCCCCGGTCACGGCAGGAGAGCGGGGAAAGGGGGGATTTGGTGTGGAAAGGGGGGATTTGGTGTGGAAAGGGAGGGATTTGGTGTGGAGGGGGAGGGATTTGGTGTGGGAAGGGAGGGATTTGCCATGGAGAGGGAGGGATTTGATGTGGAAAGGGGGGATTTGGTGTGGAAAGGGGGGATTTGGTGTGGAAAGGGGGGATTTGGTGTGGAAAGGGAGGGATTTGATGTGGAAAAGGAGGGATTTGATGTGGGAAGGGAGGGATTTGATGTGGAAAAGGAGGGATTTGATGTGGAAAGGGGGGATTTGATGTGGAAAAGGAGGGATTTGGTGTGGAAAGGGGGGATTTGGTGTGGACAGGGAGGGATTTGATGTGGGAAGGGAGGGATTTGATGTGGGAAGGGAGGGATTTGATGTGGGAAGGGAGGGATTTGGTGTGGAAAGGGAGGGATTTGGTGTGGAGAGGGAGGGATTTGATGTGGGAAGGGAGGGATTTGGTGTGGAAAGGGAGGGATTTGGTGTGGAAAGGGAGGGATTTGCCATGGAGAGGGAGGGATTTGATGTGGAAAGGGGGGATTTGCCGTGGGAAGGGAGGGATTTGATGTGGAAAGGGCGGGATTTGATGTGGAAAAGGAGGGATTTGATGTGGAAAGGGGGGATTTGATGTGGGAAGGGAGGGATTTGATGTGGAAAAGGAGGGATTTGCCCTGGACAGGGAGGGATTTGATGTGGAAAGGGCGGGATTTGCCGTGGGAAGGGAGGGATTTGCCGTGGGAAGGGAGGGATTTGATGTGGGAAGGGAGGGATTTGCCATGGAGAGGGAGGGATCTGCCGTGGGAAGGGAGGGATTTGATGTGGAAAGGGGGGATCTGCCGTGGGAAGGGAGAGATTTGGTGTGGAGAGGGAGGGATTTGCCGTGGAAAGGAGGATCACGGAGGGAAATAAATGCGGGCTCCGACCGGAGAAGGGTTTGGTTTCGATGCAGGAGCTGCTGTTCCCCACAGGCCACCCCAGCACAGCCCCCCCTCCACCGCAGCCCCCCCAAACTCACCCCTGACATCCTTCGCCCCCCCCCCCCCCCCCCGTTTGTCCCCCCAGCCCCTCTCTGAGCCCCCTCAGGCACTGCCCCCCCCCCGAGACCCCCCAGGCTCCGTCCCAGGGGCAGCCCCTCCCCGGGGACCCTCCTGGGGAATTGGGGTCTGTGGGGGGCTCCTCCCACGTCCCTGCACACTCGGGGGGCTCCCCGGGGGCTGCAGGTCCCCAGAGACCCCCCAGACCCCCCTCCCGAGCTGCTCAGGGCTCCGGGGGCTTCTCTCAGCTCTGCACCGAGGGGGGGGGAACCAAACAGAGCCCCGGGGGGGGCAGCGGGACCCCCGGGCTGGCACCCACCGTGCCCCCTGGGCTGGCACCCACCGTGCCCCCCGCGCTGCCCCAGTGTCAGGGAATGACCCCTCAGGATCAGGTGAAGACCCCCCAACTCCCCCAAGGCACTGGGATCGCAGAGACCCCCCCAGGCTGGCACCCACTGAACCCCCCTCGCTGCCCTGGGGGTCCCACAGCCCCCCCACTGCCAGGAGAAGACCCCCCAGCAGCCCCATCGCTCCCCCAAGGCACCGGGGTCCCAGAGACCCCCCGGGCTGGCACCCACTGAACCCCTCTCGCTGCCCTGGGGGTCCCACAGCCCCCTCACTGCCAGCAGAAGACCCCCAACAGCCCCACGGTTTCCCAAGGCACTGGGATCCCACAGACCCCCCCAGTGCCAGGAGAAGACCCCCAGCACCTCCCTCACTACCCGGGGGGTCCCACAACCCCCCCAGTGACAGGAGAAGACCCCCACCAGCCCCATCACCCCCCCCCCCACTGCCCCTGGGTGGGTAACACATACCCCCTATTCCCAGAAGAAGACCCCCAACAGCCCCATCACCCCCCTCGCTGCCCCCGGGAGTCCCACAGCCCCCTCATTCCCAGGAGAACACCCTCAGCAGCCACATCACCCCCCCCTCACTACCCCGGGGGTCCCACAGCCCCCCCAGCGCCAGGAAAAGACCCCCAGCAGCCCCATCACCCCCCTCGCTGCCCCCGGGGGTCCCACAGCCCCCCCACAGGAGAAGACCCCCATCACCCCCCTCACTACCCCTGGGATCCCACAGCCCCCCCATTCCCAAGAGAAGATCCCCATCACCCCCCCCTCACTACCCTGGGGGTCCCACAGCCCCCCTAGTGCCAGGAGAAGACCCCCAGCACCCCCCTCACTACCCCGGGGGTCCCACAACCCCCCTATTCCCAGGAGAACACCCTCAGCAGCCCCATCACCCCCCCTCTCACTACCCCGGGGGTCCCACAGCCCCCCCAGCGCCAGGAGAAGACCCCCAGCAGCCCCATCACCCCCCCCCCCATTGCCCCCGGGGGTCCCACAGCCCCCCTATTCCCAGGAGAAGACCCCCAGAACTCTCAACCCCCCCCCCCCCCCATCCCTGGGGATTCCACAGCCCCCCCATTCCCAGGAGAAGACCCCCAGCCCCCCCCAGGGCACCGAGATCCCGCCCACAACCCCCCCCCCCCAGCCCCTTCTCCCGCTCGCTCCCCGCGGATTTGAGGGGTCACCGTGGGTAGGGGGGACACACACACCCACCAGCTGCCCCCCGGCTGCCCCCCGACCCCTCCCCGTGCCCCCCGGGCTGGCAGTCGCGGCGGGGGGGGGATGTCCCGGGGTGGCAGAGCCGGGAGATCGGAGCTTCCCGGGAGATCGGAGCTTCCCGACAGATGGTCGGGAACCGCCACAGTTCCCGGGGAAGGGCTGGGAGCGCCCGCGCCATCTGCCAGGGGTCACGGGTGACCCCCCAACCCCGCCACGGGGGGCGTGTTGGGCCGGGGGGGGTGGAGGGAGGGATGAGGGGGGGGATGCCAGAGGTTGATTTATAGAAATGCGCCGGGAAAAGGGGAGGGGGAGGTTTGGGGGGGTGGGATCGGGGTGGGTGGGGGTCTCCCTGCATCGGCTCCCTCCCGTGGGGGTCTGCGCCCGGGGATGGGGTGGGCCGTGCTCAGGAGAAGACCCCCGGCAGCCCCAGCACTTCCCAGAGCTCTGGGGGTCCCACAGACCCCTCCCACACTCAGGAGAAGATCCCCCCCAACCCCATCACTTCCCACATTCCTCACAGACCCCTCCCACACTCAGGAGAAGATCCCCCCCAACCCCATCACTTCCCACATTCCTCAGGGTCCCACAGACCTCCCCATGCCCAGGAGAAGACCCCCCCCCCCAACCCCGTCACTCCGAGAAGCTCTGGGGGTCCCACAGACACCCCCCCACACTCAGAAGAAGACCCCCAGGAGCCCCATCACTCCCCACATTCTTGGGGGTCCCACAGACCCCCCCATGCCCAAGAGAAGACCCCCCCCCCAACCCCATCACTTGCCAGAGCTCTGGGGGTCCCACAGCCCCCACATGCCCAGGAGAAGACCCCCCTCCCAATCCCATCACTTCCCAGAGCTCTGGGGGTCCCACAGACCCCCCCATGCCCAAGAGAAGACCCCCCCCAGCCCACCAGGGTTCCCAAAGGGGTGGGTTCCCAACAGGGGGGGGTTCCTGCTCCTTGAGGGATCCCCCCCGGATTTATCCCGGGGGTTCCACCGCCACCAAAGCGAGGATGAGGAGGGTCCCGGCTCCGCCTGAGCCGCGGGTTCGGCTCTGGGGCAGCTCGGGGGGGGTCTCTGTGCCGGCTGGGAGAGGGTCCCACAGCAGGGAGGACCCACCGGGGCAGGGCCAGGACGCTCCGGGCCCCCCCATCCCGGCGGGGGCGCGTCCCGAATGTTCCGCGGGAGGCAGCGGGGGGCGGCTGGCACAGCACCCGCTCCCTCCTGCCGGCCCTGCTTCCCCTCCCGGCCCTGCCAGCGGCTCTGCCGGACCTTCCCGTGCCCCCCAGGACCACCCCGGGCACCGCCGCCCCCCTGCCCGGCCCCGGGAAGTTGCTTTTCCAGCCCCCGGTTTCTGGGGAGAGGAGGAGGGGACGAAACCTCCCGGAGGAACATCCCGGGCGCTGCTCGGTGCCAGGAGGGGCTCGGGGGAACAGGAGGGACCCCCCCCCCCGGGTTGCTGCCAGTTGTGGGGGGGTCTGAGGGACCCCCTGCCCGCCCCAGGCCCGGGGGAAGCACTGCCAGGGCTGGGGGGAGCAGAGCAGCTCACCCAAAACACCCCAACATCCTCCTCCGACCCTTTGGGGCTCCCTGGAGCCCCCGAATCCCTCCCTGTCTCCCCGCCCCGGGGGTCCAGTGTCACGGGGAGACCCCCTGGAACCCCCGAATCCCTCCCTGTCTCCCTGCCCTGGGGGTCCAGTAACACGGGGGGACCCCCTGGAACCCCCGAATCCCTCCCTGTCTCCCTGCCCCGGGGGTCCAGTGTCACGGGGAGACCCCCTGGAACCCCCGAATCCCTCCCTGTCTCCCTGCCCCGGGGGTCCAGTAACACGGGGGGACCCCCTGGAACCCCCGAATCCCTCCCTGTCTCCCTGCCCTGGGGGTCCAGTGTCACGGGGGGACCCCTTGGAGCCCCCGAATCCCTCCCT